GGAAAAGCTTGCGAGCTTTGTCCGTCTTCTTTCTCATCCCCTCCGGAAATCTTGCGAGCTCTTTCCAACCTTTCGTCTTGGCTTCTAACCTATTTCGTCTCTCCGCAAATGCCACTCCACCTGTATCCCTCTTCTCTAAGTGAAGCAATTTTAGGGTGTCTTGTTTGAGTCAAGTTTGTTTGAGTCAAAGTTTGTAAGTCTTTCATTTTTATAATATTAAAGTTTTTTTTAAGCATTTTATGTCTTTATTTTGTATCTAGAAAGGTTGTTCTTTTATGTGATAAAAAAATATAGCTAGAAAGGTTGTTCTTTTTTGTGATAAAAAAATATAGAGTCCCCTATATTTTTTTATCACATAAAAGAACAACCTTTCTAGATATAAAATAAAGACATAAAATGCTTAAAACAAACTTTAATATTATAAAAATGAAAGACTTAACAACTCAATTTGACAACCAAACCGTAGGACTTCCTAACTTGCTCTGATACTAAATGATGTGAGCAAAAAATATAGGGTCCCCTATAATTTTTTGATTGCATCAAGCATCAACCCTCAACTTTTTAATCTAGATCTGGGATCATCACTAGTGATGGTACATACCCACCATAAACATTAAAATCACATTCAATGTCTAAGATTCTAAATTTGGTGCTAGAAAACTCTAATTTGCTTATAAGACTAAACAAATTGATGCAATAAATGCAAGACCAATATAATCATTAACTCTCTAAAAATTAAAAATAATACGAAGGTAATGTTATTTAAAGATAACAAAATTCACTTTTAGTACAATTTTATTTCCATATAGTGTTAATACTAGTCTAAAATGTCACAAAGGAATTAAATCCTCACAAAACTATCTGTATAACACAAATTGATAGAAAATTTGAGCTAATGTGACAAGACTAAGTATAATGATGCACACTTACCTTAGGTGAGCTTTCCCGTATCTCATCAACCAACCACCTGAAATTAAAAAAAAAAAATCACCATTGGACAGTCAAAAATTTCATGACAATAACTCTTATTATGCAGGGCCAACTCCAAGAACTAGTATGACTGATAAACAATTCATACGCGTAACATAAAATTCATATGTTGCTAATCTATAAATAAGATTTTCCAATTATAGAGTAATTTTATCTTATATTTATTAAATTGATAAAATTATTTTTAAGTATTATCATGTTTTTAATATAATATCTATTTAAATTTCCATGCGACATGAAAAAGGCATTTTAATATTAAATTACTTAAAAAAGAAATGTCAGAAGGCTTATATGCATATACACGCCTAAACAAATTACATTCTTTATGAAAAAGCTAGGTGTTCAAACCCTTATCATTAAAAGAAAATAATAATAATAAGGTAAAATTAAGGTACAAGAAAAGAACAATACATGAGCACATGAAAAGGCTTGTTAATGGGTGAAACTTCTATGATGCACCGTTATGAACACATGTACGCCTATTACTGAAAATATAAGACGCGAACTCATTATTGACAAAACATTATAGAGTTTACATATTTTAAAATTAAAAACATTATATGGTAATTGCACAAAATTAGTAAAATATAAAATGAGACATAAGTTTGTAAGTATATAAAAATCATGATATTTAAAGATGTAACAAAATGAATAAAAGATTATCTTACTTTTTAGATGTTACAGGCCCTTAAAAAAATGAAAAGAAAAATTACAATTGGCCAAAAAAAAAAGAAGAGGAGACAATAGGTGAGTTGTGGGCCTATGGTGTTTGTATGTCAAGGTTTCAAGTAAATGTGGGTGTCCATGTGACGGGAAGTTCTTAAAGGAAATAAAATTAGGGCATAATCAATTAAGTATTTGAGTATTTAAATTTAGTTTTTCAAATGCACATATGTCAGACATGTTACACATATGCTCAATATATATATATATATATATATATATATATTTATTTATTTATTTATTTATCTGGAAATATAATTGAAGTACACATGTGCCGATACGTGTTGCGTACATATCATACACATGTCGTTTCCCGTAAATATCGGACATTGCATATAGTTTTATAACAAAGCGTCGGTGTAATTTCGATTAGGGTTCCGTGCTACATGTAAAAGAAATAGTGATGATGATGAAGGCTACGGATGTAGGACTATGTAAGGATGCAATGATTTTGTTTAGAATTTGCACAACTTTTGATTAGAACAACAGTGAAGAAACTATTAGCATTTAAAACAAGAAATGGGTCACGCCCGCTTAGGCTAAATCACATAACCAGAGATTTGAAACTTTCAAAATAAATTAGTAAACAACGTTATGCCTGAATAGTAGTTTCAATAAGAATCCCTAATCTAACAATGAGAATTAGTAAACAAAGAAGTACACTCAAAACCCTACGTTTACTAAGCTTAGCAGAAACAGGAGGAAGCGTCGTTCGTGACTACAATCAAACACAATATAAAGTTAGACTCAAGAAATATAATGAAAAGGGGGAAGTAGAACCCTTTGTCAAGGACCGATGGCGATCCTCCACTCAATGCCTTCAAATTGTTCTTCGATTACTTCAACCAACGTGTCCAGGATACACTCTATGTAATCCTCAACGGTGTGATCGACCCTCGGATTAACATCAAAGAAACTTGACTGGAGAATATTTATGAATCTGTCCTCATCGTAGGTTAGGCCGTATTCAGTTTCTGAATCAGCCATTCATAGATGTTAATGCACGAAGTCTTCCAAAAGATGGCTAGTACTCTTGACTATTGTTGAAGAGAAAGAAGTTTCTCGTCAACGGGAAATAGTGGAGAGGCAAAGAACAAGCTTCCTTCCAAAATCTGAAATAAAATTCAAATTTTAGAAAATAAAAGGGTGTAAACTCAAGAGGGAAAATCCAATCCCTAAATTCTGGTGGAGAGTTAAGTGGAGGGAGGGAGATTAGAGGGAATGGAGAGAGGGGTCGGCGGCTTTAGTGAGTGGGGAGGGATTTATGAGGTGGATGGTTCCTAAATTTGGGTTTAGAGATTAGGAAAGATTTAATTGAGTCCAATTTAATTTGAAATTCAAATTGGATTCAATTTGAAAACTTTCCTAAAATAGTTAATAGATTTAGGAAAGGATTTGAATCTTAAATTTAAATTAATTTGGATTCCAAATTGTTCCCAAATTAATTCAAATTAGATTAGGAAACTCAAAGCAAGGAAAGTGGAGTGGGGCCGGCGGTTACCCATGCATGGCCGGCGGCTAAAGGGATGTAGGGAGGAATTTGGGGAGGCATTCAATGCTATCTTGAATTAAGGAATTAAAGTTGGAATAAAAGATTTCATCCAAATTAATTCAATATTTCAAATAAGCTTTGAATTAGGAAGTTGCCTAAAATAGGATGTTAATTTAGGTAACTAATTCAAATTCAAATAGATTTGAACTTACTCATAAATATAGTTACCTAAATTATGAAAGGTTAATTTAGGTAATGTTTAGTGGCAATTTGGTGGAGGGAAAGACCAAGAGGAGGGGCCGACGGGTTGGGGGTTTGGCCGTGGATGGTGGTGGAGGTGCTTAACCGATGGGTAGAGATGGGGAGTAGGGTGGTCGGCGGCTTAGGGATTTGGGTTGCTCAAAGCCGGCGCCTAGGGGAAGAGGGGAAGGGGGAAAAACAAAAGAGAAGTAAAACCACGAACCTGGCCGTTTCCAAGGTTGGTGGGTGATCCAAGTTCCCTCTCCTAGGGATTCACCAATCAAACTATCAAGCTCTCACAAGAACTCATGCAAGGGAAAATTTTAATCAATCATCCATTAGCTTCAAAGACAAATCAAGGGGCTATAAATAGCCTAGTACATGAGACTCAAAAACATAAAAGACGAAAATGCCCTCGGGGCTTACATACGACATCCCTTTACTAAAAGGGTACAACGGGAAATAAGATAAAACAAATACAGCGACACATAAAAAAAATATATAAATCAAAAATACAATGACTCGATCGTGGCCGTAGATCGGCTGCCACACCTCTGATAAACCTTCCAAGATCGGATGTCCCCATCAGCTACCCAAAGATTGAAGCATCACTTTTTAAAATGATTATGCCGTGTCAATTATAGGGTGATGATTCAAGCCATGAACCTATATGCACAACCCACCTGTATTAGCTAGAATGCTAGATATATGTCATAGATATAATTGTGTTAATTAAGGATATATGATCTGTGTGATTAATTCATATGATTGCAAATATTTGTATTTTTGGAGTACAAATGTAGGTTTCCTCTTAAGCTAGATTTGATTGTTGGAATCACTCAAATATTTTCATGTATCATACTAATTATTTTTTATATGAGTAGAGCCTTGTACGTGAGTGCAATGAGCCTGATTGACATGATAATAGAGCCATCTCGCACTCAATTGCGATAGTCAATCTCATTGATCTCATCTCACTCGGACAATGCCCAACCTCTGTTAGTCTTGACAACATCGATCTCAATCTCAGCTCATCTCCGGCTTCTAGCGCCCAACGTCGCTTTCACCTTTGTGTGGATCTTAGCCTCCAATACACTGAAGTGTCACCAGCACTAGTATATGATTCTACTGTCTTCCAAGCGCCTTTTAGTGTATTGATGTTGCGCCTTCAACAACGCCTTCATCTCCCCAACAGCTTCACCTTCATCTCCAATGTTTCCACCAATTTGACCTTTGTCTCCGGGACTCCCTTCTCAAGATCAATTAGAGGGACTAGCTCTCAAAGTTTTTTTTTCAAAGGCCTTTTCTAAGACTTCTCTCCCAGCAATCATCTCCTTTGGGACTCATTATCTGCATTGTCTAAAAACATCATGTCAACTAGCAACTTTTTTGTGCACCTCATGGTCAATTTAATTTCAATTTGTATCATAATAAAAAACCACAGGGTCACATTGATGGCAGTGGTCCCATTCTGTTTGAATGTCCAAAATTTGCTTAGGGCTTGTTTAGTTTGCTAAGAAAAAAATGCAATGTAAAGTAAATGTACAACAACAACAACAACAACAACATCAAGCCTTTATCCCACTACGTGGGGTCGGCTACATGAATCCTTTTTCTCCATTGAGTCCTATTAAAAGCCAAATTCTCGTTTAAATCTAATAAAGAAAGGTCATTCCTAATATTTTCTAACCAAGTCTTTTTAGGTCTACCCCTACCTTTCTTAACACAAGTCAAATCTAATACCTCTACTCTCTTAACTGGGTCGTCGGAAGGCCGCCTTTTTATGTGACCAAACCATCTAAGGCGACTCTCTCTAATCTTATCTTCTACTGGAGCTACTCCAACCTTTTCACGTATATGCTCATTTCGTATCCTATCTCTAAGGGTAAAGCCACTCATCCATCTAAGCATCCTCATCTCTGCCACACTTAACTTAGTATTATGCTTCTCTTTTAATGGCCAACATTCGGCACCATAAAGCATTGCAGGCCTCACTACCATCTTATAGAATTTTCCCTTAAGTTTGAGGGGTACATTTCTATCACATAACAAGCCCGATGCATTCCGCCACTTCAACCATCCAACTTGAATTCTGCTGATTATATCCCCATCTATTTCACCATCACTCTGAACAATAGATCCAAGATACAATGTAAAGTAAATGTAGTGTAAAATAAATGCATCATAATAATTAAATACTGTGAGGTTGCTTAGTTGTTTGTAAAGTAAATACTGGGGAATTATTTTTTCTGCTTGGATGGGTATATACAAAGTAAAGTAAAATTAGTGCATTCTATTGGGTGTATATAGAGTAAAATAAAAACAATCTAATTTGATCCAATATATTGAGTCCAAATTAATAGTTACAATTAAATGAGATTAAGAAAAAAAATTATATATGGTAATAAAGTAAATAGTTAGATGAACTATCATGACCATGCATTTTTCAGCATAATCACAACTTAATTGGAAATGTAAGGTTTTATTAGGTATACTTGAGGGGAAAAAGTAAAACGAACAAT